CATCACCCATTTAGCCCAGCCCCCCTCATCCCTCCATCAACCTTTATTTTGTTCTCTATAGTTAAGAGTCTCTTATGGTTTGCCTCCATCTCTATTTTTATTTTATTTTCCATCCCTTCCATTATGTTCACCTGTATGTTTCTTAAATTCCACATATGGATGCAGTCATTTGGTATTTGCCTTTCTCAAATTTATTGTCCATAGCATAATATGCTGTAGTTCCATCCACATCATTGCACTTGGCAAGATGTCATTCTTTTTGGTGACTGAGTAATATTCCATTGTATATATCTACCACATCTTTATCTCTATCTAAACTGTTTTAGAGGAAATTATCTAAACTTTAAGAGCTAGAGGGGATAATTGAGTCAGAGGCAATATAGGGAGAAAAAGACATCAGTTATAAGGAATATGTTTTGCCTGAAACATCATCATAGGAACAGAACTGGCAAGAAGTTCCTGAGCACCAAGAGAAAGTGGCTCTCTGATCCACAGAACTGTCCAGTTTTTACCCATGTTTGATGGATTTGTCCCTAATAATAGAAAATCTAGCTCAGTAAACTAGTTCCTCTAATTCCATGATATACAAGTAAACTTTTCTTCATACATTGACTTCTCATAAAAAAATCTGCCTAGGAATAGAAGAATACACAGGCCACAAAGATATAAGTGTTGAACATTTGAGACTTTAATCAGTCTCTTATGATTTTACTTAACTTAGTCTTTCTGAGACTTCCCATCTCTGGTGTGCTGGTGAGAGTGTGTTTCTTAATGAGTACCAGAATCTGCTCCATGGAAAATTTATCCTCTGAAACTTCTTGGAGTTATAGTGACCTAATGAACAATATGTGTCCAACATCAATCACCTTAGGACATTTGTCACTCTCTACTTTGTGCTATAGTTCAATAGGTTTAGTGAAATTAATGTGTCACGTTAATTTTGAATACTGGATCTAGGACAGAATCACCATGATATGTACAGTGTGCAACTCATGCTTTGTTAGTGATAAGCCATAAATTTATATTTTTAAAATTTAGGAACCCACACAGATTAGGAATTCAATCACCCTTTGCTTTAGAGGAATAAACTATACCCTATGGGGCAGATATGGTCTGTGGCTTCTGTTTTTGTGCTGCTAATGAGCTAAGGATGGTTTTAACACTTTTTAAAATGTATGAATACAACAAACAAATAGAAATAAAAAGAGGAGAGAAGAATATGAAACAGAAACTGTATGTGGCCCACAAAGATAAAATATTGACTATCTAGCCTTTTATGGAAAATTTTTATTTGGGTGCTTGGGTGGCTCAGTCAGTTCAGTGTCTGACTGGCCCAGGTCATGATCTCACGGTTTACGAGTTCTGGTCTGCATCAGGCTCTTTGCTGTCAGTACAGAGCCCACTTTGCATCCTCTGTCCGCCCCCCTCTCCCCCACCTTCATGCTCTCTCTCTCTCTCAAAAATAAATAAACAGTTAAAAATTAAGAAAAAAAGAAAATGTTTTTCAACTCCTGTCTCTGATTACCAAGCCAAACTATGGCGCTCTTATAATTTAACAATTATATTGTTATGTGACTAGTTTCCTGTAATTACATGTATTCCTTAGGAAATGTCCTTTCCACGTGAAAGAAACTTTCTGAAACGAACGTGAGTTATAAACTTCCACAGATTAACCTGTATTTTATTTATCAGAAGCTAAAAGAAACATTTTAGTTAGCCTCTTACTACCTCCAAATAAATGCACTCTAATCATTATGTTTAAACAGTCTTTCATTGGTTCCAAATTAACACATTTTATGTTATTTTCACTGTAGTTAATGTAATTAATTTGAATGTACATTTTAGCCCAGTACTTACAGTTAAGATTACTTAGTGATTTCTTCTCAGAATAAATAAATGAGAACAAATAAATGATTTTAGTTTATAAGAGAACAAGTAAGTAAATAAGAGAACAACTAAATGATTTTAGTTTAGATAGTTCTATACTAAATATAGCTATACTTTTAATTTTGCTCTAATTTTACCATTCCAATTATAAAAAGAAAACAAGAATTATGTGTTACTTAACCCTAACATATGCTTTCATTTGCCTTTACTTTTTCTTACGTAAACCATGTTTATATTGACATTAGAAATGGCCTTTTTGACTTATTTTAAAAGTCACTTGAAGGAGAAGCATATTGAGGCTGATTTGTTTAATGATGTGGGAATAAAGCCTGACATTTTAGAGACTTATTAGTTCTAAGAAAAGAAACTCTCTTAAGTGAAACATCACTAATGTGTTTCCAAAAGGTCAACAATTTATTACTTTATATAACAGGTGGATCAGAGCCACTTGATCTGGGCTAATCAATTTCTTTTTTCCTTCAATCTTCTTGATTTAAAAATCATTCCAGGAAGACCTATGCATATGGAAATGTAGCAAGTTAGCATGAAAAGATGGATGCATAGAAGTTTTGTTGTTGTTTTTGTTCTTTTATGGAACAGGGATTTATAGATGGTTAGAGCAAAGACCAAGTTGTGGTGAGCAGGTGGGCTGGTGCCTCATTTGCTGGTCCACTATTATCTTCTACCCAACTTGTCTTCTTCCTCTGTCTTTTGCAGTCCACTGGGAATGATTGAATAAGCGATTGTCAGGCCTTTTTTGTATTTGCAATAGAAAATAGTAGTTCTCAGGGTGTCTCGGTGGCTCAGGCTGTTGAGCATCTGACTCTTGATTTCAGCTCACGTCATGATCTTATGGTTCATGAGACTGAGCCCTGTGTGCTGACAGCGTGAAGCCTGGTTGGAATTCTCTCTCCCCCCTCTCTCTCTGCCCCTCTCCTTCTCACGTTCATTCTCTCTCTCTCAAAATAAATATTTTTAGAAGAGAAAATAGTTTTTGGAGGAGAAAGCTACATACTGCATTGCTGTTAAAATACTTCTCTATTGCCACAACATCTTGGAGAATTACTGTTTGTGCAGCCATAATCACGTCATATCTAAAAGACTATTTGCAGGGCAGCGAAAATTGAAGAATGATGAATAGAACATGTTGCTTAGGTATGTGTTGCCAGAGCCAGGAGTCGTTTGTTTGAATTAAAAATAATCAAACTAGATTTATAAAGGGAACAGGAGATGGAGGAGTTTGCTGAAAGTGTACTGAGTGATCTTATATACTCTAGAACAAGAAATTCAATAATATCTCTGATGCAGTTTTGAATGGTGGTGGTAGGGGTCTGAAGCTGATAGCCAAGAAAGAATTCTTGAGACATCTTTTGTGCAAAAAGGTGATTTTATTAAGGCATCAGGGCAGGACCTGTGGACAGAAAGAGATGCACTGGGATTGTGAGGAGTGACTGATTATATACCTGGGAAGTAGGGAGACAAGGAAAACGGGAGGTTCCCAAAAGGGGTTTCATAACCTAAAGAGGACTGCTAACGTACTGGAGGCTTAGCTATTGTCAGGCTAAGGTTATTTTTTCCCTCTAGCAAAGCATTAACATTAAGACATCCCTGGAGAAATGTTATACTCACTATTTGCCTCAAGTGTTCATCAGTGGGATGCAGGTTATAAAGAAATTTAATTTTATTTACCATTTCCTTTTGCCTTTGTTCCCCACATCATTATAGAGGGGAAGGTGATGTTAGGGCTCCAGGAAACTGAGTCTATGGATTTCTGGAGGTTAGGCTTGATAAGATTGTCCTTTTTTTATAATTTACTAAGACATTTATAAACTGTTGGGGATTCATATCCTGCAAGGCTATGATCTCTGCCAGTTAACTGTTGGCTTTTTCCTTTCCTTTGTCCTTGGGCAGCCAAGAGTGCTTAGGAATGTCAGAAGTATCCCAGATGCTTCTGGCATACTCTTGTGCTTTGCCCTCAGCTTACCTTTGGCTCCCTCCTCATCCCTGTAAGATCGTGTCCAAGCACTAGGTGGCGCTCAGGAACCACTGGAAGACTTCTTGCCCACTCCCACTCTGTACCACCCTTTAACATAACTCTCTCTTTCCCTACCCTCTCTCCTGGTCGTTCCTGCTGCTTCTTCCTGTTTCAAGGCAACATTCTCCTTTCTCTATAGATTTGATTTCTTGGTATCAAATCCAGGGAGACTATATCCAGTTGCTTCTTTTGCTCTGTATCTCCTCCTCCTTCAGCTACCCAAAATGAAGCTCTAACTTTACTCTGAATCTACATTCCAGATGCTAACATGAGAGAATCAGATTGAGTAGGCAAAGGGTTAACAGTAGGCAGGAAGCAGTGGCTCCAGCCTGCTCTGCAGCCCCCTTGGCTTCAAGGCTCCCCTTAAAAGTGCTTGGTCCTCCTACTCCTCAAAGTGTTCACCATGCCCCTGCCCCAGCTGCAGATACTGGTGGAAGACTGTAGCTGAGGGCAGGATAAACCCGTTCCAGACCTGCCCACCATGCTAGGTGCCATGAATGGAGTCTCACAAACTGTTCCCAGCTCCTGACAAAGTCCCAATAAAAAAAGACAAAAATCCTTGATGGCAACCCAGTCAGGACCCCTCTCACTCTCGTGAGCTTTGTACTTAAGCTCAACAAACTATCACTTTGCTCATTGCTGTTCACCAGGTTCATTCTCAGACTCCTTGAGACAAGGACCGGTGTCTCTCCCACCCACCTGTAACAGCATTGTTCTTGTTTGAGCCAACTGCCCACTTGCGACAGGAATGCACCACAATCTCTGGGGTGAAGTTACATGATCCCACTGACTGCCAGAAAGTCCAGGGAACCAGATTATCTGTAAAGTTGGGAGCCTAGACTGAGAAGTGTGACTACTGACATTTGCATATTCAGGACATTTATTTGGTTTCCCAGTCACTGGGAACATTGAGGAATATTCATTCATTCACCAAATGCTTTATTGAGCATCTGGCGTGTGCTGGAGTTAAAACAATGAGTCAGATACAGTTGTGTCTTTTAAGGACCTTATAATCTACTGGGATTGACAAGTCTGCAACCCTTTCCTTCCACAGAAATCAGTTCTTCAGCCTAGTGAGCACAGGGCACCCATGTGAAGAGTTTTGGAGGACTCAGATGATTTTCTGCTAAAGCGGTGAGACAGAAGCCACCTCTTAAAAGAGGTACAGAAATTAGCCAGATGGAGAAAGTTGGGGGAACCCATACAGAGAAGGATACATTTCAGGATCTAAGTCCATTTGATTAAGATCAGTTGTCAGAAAGAATAATTTATCAAAAAGCCAGTTCACCAGAGGATCATTGTGGTAAACTTGCCTATTATCAAAACTTACTTTAAAGCATATCATCCTTGCAACACTAATACATTCAATACATATCAATATGAATATATTATTTTTATGGATACATACTGAGTTTTTTAAATTTTATCAAACTGATCTTTGATAAAATTGATATTTATTAAATTTGTAATTCAGTGCTTTAGCCTTTGGGTTGTTGGGGAAGAAGACCCTCTTCTGTACTTCAGAGTCCTTCTATCTGTACTTAGGCTCAATCTACATGAGACAGATTAACAAGAGAAAATAAAATTTAATAGGGCATTTACAGGGAACCAACACAGACTGGAGATTCCAAAGACAGTGAGGCAACTTGAAGCTTATATCAGCTAAGAAGAGGAGTAGGTCTGAGGATTGAAAGAGGTGGAAGGCCATTCGTAGGAAAATGAAAGGAGATGTTTTGAAAAACAAAGGCTGCTCTATTGTGCAAATAAGTTTCCTAAGTAAAGGGGAATCTCTGTTAAAACTCTCTTCCTGGGGCGCCTGGGTGGTTCAGTAGGTTAATCTTCTGACTTCTACTTGGGTCATGATCTTCTAGTTCTTAAGTTCAAGCCCTGCCCCTATGGCTCTGCTGAGAGTTCAGAGCCTGGAGCCTACTTTGGAGTCTGTGTCTTCCTCTTTCTCTGTTCTGTGACTCACACTCCATCTCTTTCCCTCTCTCTCTCAAAAATAAATAAACATTACTGATAAAAAGCTTTCTTCTTGGTACAGCCTCTCCTTTCTGATGTAAATTTAGACTTAGAGGACTGAGAAGAAGGCTGTTCCTGCATCTTCTTGATTTTGATTACTTAATTCAAAATAATACTCATACCAAAGTGGCCCATCTTGGAGTAGGCTGCCCTTGGTCCCTGTAGGGAGGAAGGAAGAGTATGAGGAGAGAAGTTCTTGCTCCTTGTGGCCAGAGCATAAAGTATGAAGTAGACAGAGGAAGATGATTGGGGAGCGAGAAAGGAGAAGGGGGTAGAAATGAATTACCTCTCAGTAGGCTTTTATGTACTGACAAGAGTTAATATCTAAAAAATATGTATAATAAAATATAACGCCAGATATTTTATATTAATTTTATATTTAGCCATATCTATTTCATTCCAACGGGTTGTAGGCTTCTTGAGATCAAGAAAACTATTTTTTTTCTTAACTTAAATCACCTCGGATTTGGTATGGTATTTCAGTCTACACACATTTTCTTCTCTTTCAGCTTTATAGGTTCTTTGAGTGATCAGTAAATATATTTTAACTGACTAAGCCCTTATGCTCATTAATGTTAAGTATAATTAGACTTTATTAATTCCCAGTTCACTTGTGGATGCTTCTGTTCCTTCAGAGATACAAACAGAGGAATGTTACACAAATTTCATTATTTTTTTATGCCTTCATAAATAGAAAAAAAATGTCCCTCTTACATTAGTGACTTAAGACATTAATCAATGTAAAAGAATGACATGCGTTTAACTATTGGCGCTACATCTTATTATTAATGCAGGTCTCTAAATGATTATTAAGCACAGCAAGTGATTACCGCTCAATGACTCCTTCCCTTTACTTCCACAGGATCTTTTCCCAGGGCTTAGCTGATATAAATAGTTTGAAATTAGCTCTTTCGTTTTCTATAGATTTCTTTCATTGCAAACATCTTGGTACTTAGGGAGATACAATCCAGAATATGATACTTTAAATTGAATAAAATGAATATAATTATGGATAAAGGAGTGCTCAAGGTATCTAGAAATTAAGATCAGAAATTACCTATATCCCATTACCATGGTAAACAGTTGGTTTTCCAAAATGAATATTTTTGCTTAAACATTCTCAGTGGTAAGATTGAATATTTAACTGCCTTATAATTTCTACATATACCCTGAGTTGACTTTATGTATAGGTTTGTACTGTTGTTTAATTAAGTGAAACTCAAAAAAGAATAAGAAATGATTGTTCTATTAAAGACTAACTCACAAATGAAAGTCACATAGATTACAACAGTTGGGTCAGCAGTAACTTGATGTTTTGCTAGTGTTTTCAAAAATAAATGTAAAGGAATAAAGTTATTTCAGGAATACTTCTGATGAATAATCTTGGAAAAAAATTGCTAGTGCAGAGGAAAGAAGCATGTTTGCTTACAGTTCATGCTTATAGTTTTCTTCCCAAGCCAACTTTATTATAAAAATATGCTAATACAGGGACATGTGGGTGGTTCAGTCAGTTGAGCATCTGACTTTGGCTCAGGTCATGATCTCATGGTTCCTGGGTTTGAGCCTTGTGTCGAGATGTGTGCTCATAGCTCAGAGCCTGGAGCCTGCTTCAGATTCTGTTTCTCCCTCTCTCTGCCCCTGCCCTGCTCACACTCTGTCTCTCTCAAAAATAAATAAACATTTAAAAAATTTAAAATGCTGATATAAACAACATAAACCAGATATAGAATTGAGGAATTTGAAAGCATTAGTAATGAAATATGCACAATGATTTTCATAAATATGAATGCCTTTAAAGTGTTGAATCAGTTTCTATTGTGCTTGGCAATCTCTTTAACTAGCTTCCAGTAGTAAGTTTATTCTAACAGCTTATTGAGTTTGTATTTACAAGGCTAAGCATGAATGGGAACATTTGTGACATGGCTTTGAGAAGCTTTCTGTTTTGGAAGTTTCAGCTTTTCAAGGCAAGGTATCATATCTGCTCTTCTTTCTGTAACTATTGCAAGATATATATATAGCACAATGTTTTGTTCACATTGTACCTTGAGTAAATATTATGTGCTGACTGAATGGATCTGAGAAGCAGGATGCTTTTACGGCCTGTACTTCTCCAATATAGTACCATTGTCACTGACACCAGGTGGCCATATCAAAGACTGACACTTAACATTTATAGTCTCATAAAATGGGGATCACCTTGGAATCTGCAAGTGGAACTATAAACTGGCAACAAACATTACACAACTGGCAACAAAGATTCCCCAGTTTCTAATTATAAGGCCATCACATGATTCTCTAGGAGTCTTCTCAGCTTTAAGGACTGTGATCCAACTTTCTTCCTTGGTTTTGTCAGCTTGTAAATTTTGGAAACTGTTGACCATTACTCATCTGATGACTGATAACACCTATCAGAAAGCTGTCATTCACGATGAACAGTTTCAAGGACCTGAGGTCCTTGTTGTAGCTTACCTGACCCTGACACACTTTCTTGGGAGGCACCAGGAGATTCTACTACCATTTCTTTGTAAATTCCTTCTGTTTGCTTCTGAGATGAAGGAGACATGGCTGAATCTGAACTTTTCCCCAGATGCTCTATCAACTTTTTTCAAAGATCTTTTATGAGATGAGCAACAGAATCCAGGAAAAATGGTTTCCATAGAGTTTATTTTAAAAATATTTTTAATGTTTATTTATTTTTGAGAGGGAGCTAGGATGTGATCAGGGAAGGGGCATAGAGAGAGGGAGACACAGAATCTAAAGCAGGCTTCAGGCTTTGAGCTGCCAGCACAGAGCCCAACGTGGGGCTAGAACTCACAAACCGCGGGATTATGACCTGAGCCAAAGTCGGACGCTTCACTGACTGAGTCACCCAGGTGCCCCACAAGCCTTATTTTAATGGAGTTAACCCTTACACCAACTCAGTAAAGTGTCAGTAGTTAACTATTATTGTATAGATTAAAAAATAATAATAAACTTGAAGAGAAGGTAAGTAATCAGTCTGAAGTTTGGTAGGTCCTGAGTTTGCTGGGCTTGAATCAGAAATAAAGACTTTAATGGAAAAGCCACCATGATAATGAAGTTTTGGGGTGATGGTGGTGTGGTCCAGAGCCGATGGCCAAGAAAGAATTCTTGAACACTTCTTTGGTGCAAAAAGGTGATTTTTATTAAAGCATGGAAATAAGACCCATGTGTAGGAAGAGCTGCCCTACGGTTATGCTGCGTAACTCATTATATACCCTCAGGTTGGGAAGGGGTCATGGATAGAATATTCTCTAAGGAATTTTAGGAGCAAGGTTTCCAGGAACTTGAGGAGCTAGATGTTGCTAGGAAAATACCATTTGTTACTGTTTAATTAAAACCTCAGTCATGAGACACTTCAGATGTGTATGAGGAGGCCAGAAGCTTGGAGTATGATTGCCAGCACATATCTTGGGGCAGTTGAGATAAAGGAAGTAGACTTACAGGGTCCTTGAGGTTGGGATACTGTTAGGCTAAGGTTCTCTTTTGACCCTAGCAAAGTGTCATCATCAAGGCAGCTGAGCTCCTAGAAAGAGGTCATTCTGCCCTTTTCAAGGACTTGTCAGTGGGCTGTAGGCAGTAAGGGAATTTAATTTCTCATTTGCCTTAGTTTCCCACATTACCATGGCAAGCACTTAAACCACTATTCTTTGTTCTTGGGTAGCCAGGAGTGTTCTAGGAATATCACACAGATCCCACCTGGGGTGGGGGTAAGGGGTAGGGTGCCAGCCTGTATTTTGTCCTCAGCTTGCCCCAAGCTCCCTCATCAAAGAGAACATTTAAATAAATTTTGTGAAGCCTCATTTCATATCTCAGTTTGTCTAAAACACCCACCTTTTTGTTGATGTTTATTTTTTTTCTGTGTAGCAGCTGAGTAACTGATTTTCCTCATACTTAACTTCAAAGGAGAATTGCAAAAATAATTCTATTTGTCTAAATCATCCAATTAAAATGACTTCTTTTTATCAGGATATATTTCTTTTGTATCAGGATAGCATCTTCTACATTATCCTTTTTCATATGTGAGTAAAAACTTCTTATGACTAGAAGAGTAGGAAAATAGTGTTTGGATATTATATAAATTTTGAGAATTCAAACCCAAATGAAGCACCGTGTTTATTT